AAATCAAGTTATGCTTGTACAAAATAGACATTTTGTATTTGATGTCCAGATCACAAAGTCCTTTATGTCAAGTTCCGTGTTCTACAATTCCATCAGAACTTACTTTGCGTGTATACTATCAAGAAAGACGTAGATATATTGCTGCAAGCTTATATAAATTTACATCTTTGATATCAATATGAGTTTCCTGTTTTGTATATTTTATCCCAATGTAAGATTGAAGATATGCAGGCACATTTCACCGGCTGAAACCTCTAACAATTTATATCACACATATTTCCTGCCCAGATTATGCCTTACATGAGCTTCATGGCGTTATCTCTATAAAATTATTCAATGTTTTAAACATTAATCCCAATTTTATTGTGGTTATTTTGATTTAAGGTTTGATTAGGAAGCATATTTCCTTTTTTTATTCTTTACACGAACATAGCGAAAACTAAAATCTACTGGAAAATATTATTGCTATTATAATTGCAATTTAATGGGAGGTCGTATATTGTGAAGGCCCTGTAATTATATAATTATAATCTAGAGTGACGAGATTGTGTGTCGGCGATCCCGCTTGTTGCAAAAATGCAAACTGCACACGAATAACAAGTCACGTTAGGTGAAGGTTTGGATAAACGCCAGTCTAACTTAACTCAACACTTTCGAAATGGTTATTTTGCTGGATTTGCTAAATCTCAGCCTTAAGATCTCAATCTTATACGCAAATCAATTACGATATGTAACTTAGAATTTTGGTTTCCTCGCTTTCCGTTAAAGTTTTATCAAGCGCAAAAAAATCAATGCAAATACGATGCAAGCGACGGTAAAAATATATGGCAATTTGTCATTTTCACTATCGAATGAGCAAGGTAAGGTATGAGTTGTGCACAAGGTATCTGCTGGCTTCTTTATGCCAATAGCTTTTGAAAATAATCGAATACGTAACATCTACTAATCACATCATATTTGACAGACATCACTCATTTGGTATTCACGCAAATTATCGGACAATGATGCCTGAGATGCGTTAATAGTATACCGCGGCATATGCGTGTCACAAACCATCATGGTTTATTATAAATTAGAAATGATAACTAACGACGAAATCGACATTCTTGAAAATTACAGCGAATGCCTGTATGACATCTTTTTTGCTTTAATATTGACCAACAGCAGAAGTTAAATCAATTTAATACAATGCGGTCTATAGACGTTCATTAAAATGAATTAACTATATCGCTGAGGTATGTTTTGTTTGTGACGAATTAAGAATGGATGTATCGTTATCGTGTGGATCATTTCATTTTTTGTAACATTTTAAGAAACATTTGAAGCAACGGCATCCGATGCATCTAATGCATCGGCTTGACAATAACATCTTGATTGCGATTAATATGCCACATACCCCAGTACACACTGAAGTTGAATAGACTAGACAATGCAATCCAGCGTGCAAGCGTTTATGTGTCTAATGTGCGCTGCATGGTGGTCAATCGTCGAGATCATTTTTGTTGATTATTAAAATGCAGTTTATTGTTCAATAGAAAGTTATAATCAGTTTATGCTTCATTTCCAACGCCTGGTTGACATTACACAACAAATTGTTGTCATATATACACTAAGTAGTATCATAATTTCATGAATGTTTGACTTGTGTCAATGGGAATAATACGTGGGAAGGTGTATCGATTAAAACAAACGATTATATGCTATATCCATATTAATCTCGAGCATAAATTTTGCACTACCAATTGATATTGGATGATCATCAAGTGGTAGTCGATAGTATAATATATCTTTGTATTCATACATATTGAGAGGATGTCATAACATGCTTTTTCACTTCGACCAAGAATGTCGAAATAATTAATTTTTAATGTTTTATAAAGATTCAATTAGATGATACAAGGTATTTCAAACAAGTGTACGTAAGTGATATGGTGTCATAGGTTGTATGTTGATTTTGTAGCGGTCAAAAATACATTAGTGCAGATCCAATGTGCTAGACCCATTACATCGCTTCAGATAATACTACGGTAAACTATAATTTGCTTACTTACTCCGGCTTGTTCGAACGAAAGCACTAGTGTGGTACATTCATATTCAGAATATATATATGTTTATACGTGTGCACAAAATGGCGAAATGGACCGATAGTATTGGGTATAAGATTCTAGATAGCATACATAACATAACTATCAATTACACCCGATTAAATTCTCGCTGCTTTCGAATTATATGTTATTATATTTGAATTGGGATACACTTGGTACGTTGTCTAACTGTTCTCGCTTCACCCACGGTATCCCATTTTTGCATTTCTCTGTCCGCCTAATTCATTATCACGTGACAAGTAGTCAAAGTGACGCACGATGTCAGATAAGCTCTGTAAGTTAGTAGTCTGTTCTTTAGGCAATATAGTCCCCTCGCACCTTTTTAAAACACAAAAAATTACCATATTTACTCTTAAGATATTAACGTTTACGTCTCGAACCTATGCAAGATGTGATCTACCGGAAGACAAAATTTTATGTATTACCTGTCAATCATATTCACAGAACTAGTACTTAGATCTATACCTACGCGAAGCAAATCGATATATTGGAAAAGCTCACCATTAGGTAAGCTGCTGGCCGCACAATTGGTAGCACGCTTTGGCTAAGATTACAAACGAAAAGCTGAATGAATCCACGCAGACAAGCTACGATAAACTCGCGTATCGAATTTATATAAATCCATCCGAAATGATGCCAGGCGAGTTTTTACTCGCTGATGACGCTACAATGGACTACTAAAAATTGAAAATGAAAAAAACTACTGCATGTGCAGCTTTATGTATCGATACGGTGAAAGCATTTACAACTTACCGATGTGGTAATGGGCAATACAGGAAACATTCGCGTGATGCCTCTGCTGCTTTATTTTAGTTCATAGGACTATTTTTTTTGGTTTGCCAGTGCGTTCTGATAATAAATACCCAGGGAACGACATGTGCGTCCATATCAGAGCAACACATCGCATTCTTCTAATTCTTAAGATATAAATAAAGGAGCCGCGATGTGCCCTTCACATTTTGCTAACACCACACACTCCCCAGTTTAAAATATCGTGATAGGCTCATTAAGTGATTAGAAATAAAATTACGAAAACTCATCTCGCTCGCGTGAAAAAGCTCTTTAATAATTCACAGACTTCGACCATTAAAAAGTCACTTCGATCAGCATTACCATATTGCTTCACACTGGTGGTTGGTGCAGCCTCGTCGATAAGAGGCAATGTATGTAGTACCCATATCAACTCGATACTGATTGAGCGCATTAAAAAATATTGAAGAGAGAATTTAATACAGGCAAACTTATCCTAGACAATCTAGATAAGCTACCGGCAGCGGAAATTTCTCTAATATATATGTCTAGCGTGGACGCGGGCGTCCTCTTAGTGCTCTTGGGTATCAATCTCTAGAACAACGATCGCAGCGATCTACTTAGCGGGATCCGTCGTAGTTTAAAGCTGTGATAAATTCATTTTGGGCTGTACGTCGAAGCGGTAATTGAGGAAAAGCAATTCGCAACAGAAGAAGATGTCGGCACCATTTCAGCTCCCACAGTGACTGCATTGAAAAAGCATAATATTCAGGATACTGAGGACGAACGGAAGCACGTATGTCACCAACCAAAAGTAAATGAGCCATACCTATACATGGTAGTGCTTGCGGAGAGTCAATTATAAAACCCTACAAACTGAATAGCGTTGCAATACATGGCTTCTTTTAACGATTTTTTGAATTTGCGTTAAATTTCCTTTTTTACTATTCTCTATATAATTTACATGTAGCCAATTACAGCGCTAGAGAAGTATGCAGGGGTGTCTCAAATGGAGGGTGAGATGTAATTAGCGAAATGTAAGTGGTGAAAATCGATCCCGTAATGAATATGTTTATATAGCACCACACCGCCTGGTGGACATATATACATCGAAGGTTTCTACATCCGCAGTTTCGCACGCCACACCCGAAAATGACACTTATTACCGCTGATAGAGAGGGAACAGTGTATGTATGAATACGAATATGCATTTTTACCCGATGCGATCTTACTGTGACCCAATGATCTGGATCAATAGTTGTGGTTGGCGAAACGATCAATTAAACAGAGTCTTGATCCAACCAGCGAGTTAGCAGATTTGGGGAAACTGTCGTCGCTGTGAGCCAGTATTGCATTCATAGAGCCTTGACCGCGTCCGTCTTTAGTCCCTTCCATCACGTTCATCTTATGACTTATTCAATTAGACCCGACCATTTTTTGAGCTTGCCACTGCTAGTAACTCGAAACATTGGTGGCGAGTTAAATTGCGGCCATTATTGTACCGTACATCATGGCGTCAACTCGTTTCGCATCAATCGCATTCGCCAAGAGCATTTTGTCTAAATCATTCTCGATCATTAAACTGGAATGTAAATGCATTCGAAGTACCTGAGACCATAGAGGGGAAGTCGATATAAAGTAGCGGTGTTGCCCCAGGAGACCCTACCAAAAGTTTGTGTATTCAATCTTTATTGAGGAGGTCCTATCTACAATGTACTCGAATCTTACCAGATTGAAACCGTCATTACGTGATTATCAACCTTCACCTGCGAACGAGCCGCGTTCTCGTTCAAAGATATGATCCGTCCACATCCCGCTATCACTTATCGTCAAGTAGGTCTCTGATACACATCGTGACAAAATCCACCTCGCGCTGTTCATGGTGAGGTAAAGCCCGCCTCTACGTATCGTAAGTCAAACAAGTTTGACGTGGTACACTCGAAACCAATCGTGGACGAATGACAAACTCTCAGCCAACCGCATCGCTATCAAACGTTAAGCACCCATCTGTACGACCCCATTGCAATGACGATTGAGTCTCTACCTTTACCCTGTTTTGCACCTCTCACGTCGCGTTTATCGGATGATTTACGGATCTATCTTGATCGTCTGGAGCTCGGCCAAGATGCTGATAAACTTGTGCACATGCGCGCGGGCCGCCGCCAGCTCGAAACTTATTTACGAACGCAGCATGAAGGAGTCAAGAGCTTTGACCAAGTGGTTGAGAGAGATTCGGAATACTGGAATGAGCACTTGTCGAAGTCCCAGCGCACGAAAGGTGTGGTCGTGCGCAAACGTCACGCGCTTCCGGAGCTATTGCCTGGCCTAGAAGCTATTTACGATATCAAAGTGGGGCTACCAGGAAGACCCGACGATGCAGTCTATCTCGAGTCTCCGTACGCTAGACGGTGGCTGCCACGGGGAAACTGCATTGCAAAGTGGAAGAGACAGAACACGACTTACTTCTTTCCGTTAGTGCGTGGGTACAAGAAATTTACAGGTCAAGAGGATGGCGCTGAGCTCAACAAGCACAAAGAGAGTGCAGAGGGTGAACTGTCCAAATTCTTCATCAAGCCGCGAGCACAGAGCAGATGGATGATATCGACAACCAAGGAAAACGGTGAGGCTGGTCACTTAGCAGTACTCAAGCGAAGTGACGGAAAGTTTATATATGTGCTCGGGTCGAAGAACACTCACCTACTGGCCCAGAATGTGGAGGATGTCGACCGTGCAAGGATGCAGGAGCGAAGTGACAACAGTGACCCGTTCGTTGCCGCAGCACCCATTGCCACTGCTATATTACGCTTGCTGTTCGCGCTTAAGCCAGCTGATCGTACGCTGCTGTGTGAGTTCCTATGGCAAACACGTGCCACCGCATCGTTCGAGGTTCTTTGTCCAAGCCACCAACACGTGCAGCTACATGAAAATATTGTGGAAGACACCCCAGTATTCTACGGATTATCGGTAATGACATTGGAAGTTGCGGCGGGTGCTGAGATTTGTGTGAACCCCGTGCTATTGTACGAATTTATGCGCGCACTTGGAATACGCACTGTCTCCAACGACATTAAAAAGTTTGATGCCGATGTCTTTGCAAACATGCTCGAGCGCAGTACGCGTGCTTATCGACAAGAAGGAAGCGTTTATTTGTTTCTCGATGACAAAGCCGACGTAATAGGTATGGAGAAGTGTAAAAGCCTCTGGTATGTGTGCTTGCGAGCGATCCGTGAAAAGGCCAAAGCCCTTTGCCGTGCAATCAGGCTAGCTGATGATGTGTCATGTCGCGTCCGAAAGCTGGATGAAGCTAAGGAGTCAATGCGAAAGCGCTTCCGAGCCATTTCAGGATACATGCGAATCTCAGACGAGGTTTCCAATCAGTATAACGCACTTGGCACGCGATTTCTTGAGTACGTGGTTGAGAAGGAGCTTGCGTGTGGCCCTGCTCCTCAAACAGACCAAGCGACGCAAGAAAAATGCAAGGTAGTCGCTAGAGAAGTTGCCGACCTCTTCCCAGTAGTGTGGAAAAGGTTCCTCGACCATACTAAGCTGAACGATGCAATCGGTCGGCAATAAAGATTAAGAACAAATTAATTACACCGCGGATGACAATTACAACAACGAGCTTGTTCAGCCATTACAGCTAGTTACTTTTGTCTTGCCACCACCATGTCTTAATCGTACCGTCGTGGGAACTCGAAGCTAGTAGTGCCTGCTTCTCGTGCCATTGGGCATTGTAAGTCACGCCGCTGTGACCGGTGAGCCGCTCGAGCAACTTGCCCGTCGCCACTTCCCATATGTAAATGTAGCCGTCCTCGGATCCACCCAACACAAAACTTTCACGTGGGCCGAACGATGCCCGCACGATGTTTTTAGCAGTATTCCGGTGGCCCTTAAAGCGCTGAAGCGGACGTTGCTCTGCGTGGCACCTTCCCGAAAAAGCGCTGCTTCCACCGCTGGTACTTCCACTTGTACTCAAATTGCCACTGCTACCGTAAGCTGCGACCCCCAAACTCCCGAAACCGTTGTTCAACGAGTGACCGGATCCGTGACCGTTGACCCCGTTGCCCCCGGTCGAATAACCGCAGTATGATCCAGCCGATACACCGCTGGACGGCCCATTGCTTATACCCGTCGTCAGATGAGCGCGTGGAGTATGGAGCATGCGTAAGTCCCACAAACGATTGCTGTTATTCCGTGAGCCGCTCAGTAGCGTATATCCATTCGAGGCCATGGAAATAGACGTTACCTCACCTAAGGTCTGACGCAAAGTGTGAACACACAGCCCACTGAGGATATCCCACAATCGGATGGTGCCATCTTTCGACGCGCTCACAACAAAATTGGCATGTCTGTTAAATTGAATATCGCATACAGACGCGAAGTGCCCGCGAAACGTCTTCACCACAGCACCAGTAGCAATGTCCCACAATCGCACACTTTGGTCATATCCTCCGGTCACCAAGTGCGTCTCACTGGGATGCAAGTTCACGCTGTACACGTCACCACCATTTGGACTCGCGAGTGTTGCCAGACACTCGGCCGATGACACTGAGTAGTTGTGGGGCAGCGTCGAGGTAGTCGCAATTGCAGATCGACAACCCGAGGTAGCAGCGGCAGCAGCTTCGAATGCAGACTGCATGACATTGGATCCACGTTTTTCATTCAGCCGATCGCTTGAGTCACTTTGAGCCGCAACTCGCTCGGCTAGCGCTGCGCGCAAGTCCCATACCTTGACAGTGCCATCACCCGACCCTGAGTAAAGACGCTCTCCTGATGCATTGGCGGCAAGGTACCAGATCCTGGACGAGTGGCCGAGCAGGTCTCGAGTCCACTGTTGGCAGACTGTGCCCAGGGTCTTATCTGCTTCTTCTTCTCCATTTTCTTGCGACGTGCTTGACAGTTCGCTAGGCCAGAGCTTAATTGTGGCATCACTGGACCCCGAAGCCAGCAACTCGCCATCGGTACCTACAAACGTGACAAATTTAACATTTTGAGAGTGACCTACGTAGGTGCCTTTCACTGCATTCGGCAGCACTTCACACTCAAAATCCCGCAACAGCGTAGTAACCTTGGGAATGGTCTTTGGATGGTATCTGCTGAACTCCATCTGATATGCTACACTTTGGTGTAGTAGCTGCACCAGTCGGTTGTCTGGAAGTACCACAGGTGGCGTTGTCATGATAGCATCTCCATCCTGCTGAGGTGAAATTACCTCTTCTAGGGCAAAAGTGGCTTTTAGCTGCTCTACCAGCTTCTCTCTTGACCCCACGACACCTTCCCAGTCCCGAAAAGCATTCGATTCACCCACGGCTTTGCAAGTGAGCAAGTAACAAAGCTCTTTAAATTCGTGGCGGCTTGAGCTCGTCGCGACCGCCACTTTCTCTAGCGGCTTGAGGTGCGTGGTGAGAAAAGTAAAGGCCTTTTGATACTCTTGTCGGTCAATGAGTTCCAGATATTCCTGTTTGCACACGGCGTACAGGAACCCCTGGTGGGCGGCGTGAAATTTCTTCAGGTGCTTGCCCAGCAGTTTAGCCACAAGATCCCAATCCCCGTCCATAATAGCTGTGCTCAACCGTCGAAGTGCATCTCTCTCTTGCAGCCGGACGTGGCGCTTGACGTTGGCTTCGTCTTGAATTGTGGCGCTCGACATCGTAAACCCTTCCTGCTGTAGGTACTGGGTAATTAGCGCCAGCAGCTCCTGCTTGATCTGCGAATTCTGCTCATCGAACGTCGCTTCTGGAGGGATGCTTGTACGGTGGTGGCCCACGTGAGACCACTGTGCAGCGACAGCGCTGGAGCTAGCTTTGCGAGTGACAGGGGGTGCCAATGGAGCCACCATTTTACTCCACTAGTTCCACTATCGACAGTATGGTAAAAATGTCGTGATTGAGGGATACACACCTCCCTTTCCCTGATTAGTCCTAATTTTTATTAGTAAACTATTTTTGGGTAATTAGGAAAAGGGCTGCTCCAAAAACTACATTATAAACTTCTTACATCCTTTCTTTTGGTGGTACTATTAATATTTACTTGGGTGACTGCTTCGCTAAATACGTTGGCAGAGTTAAAACGGACACGAGAATAACGATACCCAAAAATATGCCGACTCCTGATGTACGTCAGCACTCATGGAAGCATCCCAGGACCTTTCTATCGTGTTAGGGTCAGTGTGGCCGATCTAAAAAAAGGCTTAGATCCGGCCGTCTGTAATCTAGCATCTCTACACAGAACAAATTATAGCAAATTAACCGAAAAATGTTAATGCAATCTCATGACTGTAGCAAAGTAAGATGATAGCTTGATTATCGAGTGTTAAATAATCTCTACGCCAACATTTTGCGTTTGAGTTACGCACGAGTGCGTGGCATTACAGCAACATTATTTAAGCATATGCAGTTCTTTAACACCATCATATATTGTAGGCCACGACTACGGGCACACCCCATTTTTGCTACAAGCACACCCGCTCTCCTAAATTGATAAAAAGGACTTCATATTTTATGGTGCTGAATAATGAACGTATACACTACAGTACAGTTTTACGGTATGGACTGGTGCGTACCTCGTCACAGACGTTAGCTGTAATTCCACAATTACTTCACGCGGTACGTATTTGTCCGTGCCTCGAGGAAGCTAAGGAGAAGCTTACTCGAACTGCAACTCACCACCCAACGGATAAGAATGTCCGTAAAGCCATGAAGATGCTGAAGGAAAAAGTAGCAGAGCAGAAGATGGAGGAGAAAATACGCTGGGGTGGCCGTCTGCTGGGTAAGGCCGAGGCAGACGAGAGCAAAGCTGTTTCCAAGCAGCGTCCGCTGCAGCTGAAAAAAAACGTCCGAGTCCATTCACGCGCTGTGGATAGTCGCTGTTGTGCTCATTGGCATCGCATTGGCTCTCGGTCAACTTGGTTTTGTGGAGTAGCGGAGGTGCTGAAGATGCTGCAACGGCGCAACGGTCATTTGTCGTCATTCAAAAAGCTGAAATTTTTGTGAAACATGGTGTATTGTTTGGCATACCACAAGAGATTGATTTGGCGGACACATGTCAAGCCCATGCATGTTGACATACGTCTTCATGTACCTCTCCCGGCGTCACGCGAATCTGACTGTTGCGTGTAAAACGCCACCTCTTGTGCCTTAATAGTCCATTCTTGCGAGCGACAGCATTGCGTTGCGTGGTGACCTTCGTCACAGGTCGCACTTCATAGTGTTGCATTGCATGAGGTTTCTCGCTTGTTTTAACTTACGGCGAGCGACAGACGAACACTGAAGCTTGGCGTGGCAAACGGAAAAGAGACTCGAAAGCGTCTCAAAGGTCAGCAGCATAGTTTCGAATCTTCTTTGCCCCGTGGCCAACCGTCGAAGCACTGTGTTTTCCTCTTTCGTCCACGCGCCTAGCCGTAACGTCGACGACTCGTGCAAGTCATACCACAATTTGCACGCTATACCCGAACGTTTGATTGGAAGCTTTCTCGACTTACGTGCTTCCTGCCACGCGCGAAGTTTGTTCCACGCTTGCAGAAGTATCTACACGTTAGCGGCGTGTGTCATGTAGAAACCTTCGGCAAAGCCCGCGATGACGTTACGCTCTCGACTCGTGGGAATCGTTGGGGCCCGGCTACAAACGACTCGTGACTGTGAGCACGTAGAAACTCGGATGTCGTTGCCACTGCCGATGACCAGATCTTGGCATTGTACCATTGGACAGTATACCGTCTTTGAGACAGTAGAGATCCCAGCAGGGATCGCCCATTTGGAATCCGCCCTGGCCAAGATGGATTGATAAAATCTCGCGCATGAGTGCAATTCACCGTTTAAGATAGGGATGTATCGAGCAGTAGTAAGTGACTACATGTTTTACTTATTCTGCACCATAATATGTGAGGTCCTTTACATCATTTTAGGAGAGAGGGTGTGCCCGTAGCAAAAATGGGGTGTGCCCCAAGCAAAAGTGGGGTGTGCCCCTAGTCGTGGCCTATATTGTTCCAACCGTAGTTGCGCTGGATGCCCAGTCGAATCAGCATGTCATTAGTTAAAGCAGTCGCTAATATTGAAACGTAATTACTGATGCCACTCTAGGTAATCTACAGCTCGAATATTGCAGATCAATTTGTAGCTTCCATATAATTCAATGACCATCCCACATGGACAAGTTTGACAAATAAAGGGGTCGTTGTCATTCAAAATGGCCACCTGCAAACCATAATTTTGCATACGAAGGAAGATGACTATAAAGGTATTTTTTTCTATCATTTTAGAGTGGTTTCTTGTAAAGACCACAATGCAACTTTATGTGTGGCCAATAAGATGATGAGACTATCTAGTTTGTGCCCTCCAGTGACCGCACGCTGAAGGCAAATGTACGACTTCGTGTTATCACATGAAGGCGTGCTTCTTACTTAAAGATGTACATTCGCGGGCTCGGAGTCGTTAAGGCATGAAATGTGTTGCATGGTTGCTGTTGTATGTCGAACGTGGTGCGCATTTAGTCGCATCAATGGTACTCACTTTGACCGACGCATTCCACAACTCCAGATGTATACATCTTTCGTCGTACAACGTATTTGTTGTATATCAATATCGTTCACTTTTCTGTATTCAACCACAACCTCTCTGTATTGTTCGGTCCATATGACCACGAATTTTTGTTCGAGTTTTGTGGGGACGGATCGACAGTAATTTTTATATGGATTACGCTGTGCAGTGTAGGTCTTCAAGCCATTAGCCCACTTCATGAACTTCGAGACGATCGTGATTGGTTTGCTCCTAATCCAGGTTTATATTGTAGCATGGGGGTCTATACGATATTGTTTAAAACAGGTCAGTGAGGTCTTGCGAATGAAGTGCAAGAACCACTACATGTGAAGTCCGAATACTATTTGTTTGTTTAGAATGAGCCTGGTATTTGAGACGAAGAGAGACGGTGCCCACGTCGTATTTTGAGCATGTTTGGCCGATGACACGAGGAGAGAAGGTCGTCACATATAATGTTTGAGATGTGTTGACATATTGGAAGAGGAGAAGCGATCACCAAGTGTAAATATCATTCGAGTTTGGCGGACCAGATGGACGACATATGCACTTCGATAGGAATTAAATGTAGTGCCGTTGAACATGCCTGCTGAAGTGTCGAGGAAAGTCAAAACCCGCTTTATTTTACTTTGGTTACTCCTACCATCAATTGTGACGAGTGACATACGACCAACTTTCCACAGGGGGTTATATGAGCATTTTGGTGTGTGCGGAACCGGATCAGTTTCTATCATGTCAGATAAGATATATATATATATATATATATATATATATATATATATATTGTACATAAACAAGCATCTAGTAGCCTCCATGACGTCAGTAAGGATGAAAATGACACATTTATATTCAAACAGGTCAGAGAGCGAACCGCATGAACGATATGGAGTGCAGTGATGCTCGATATCAAGTGAAGCGGGCAATAGGCCACTAATCGACCTAATTAATTATTAAATTGTTCATATTGACTTATAATAGCACGTAGAGAATTTGGATTGGGATATCTTGACCACTAACAACCGTTCTAAAGTGGAGGCAAAATATTTCATCGGACGAAGTACATTTTCGGTTTCTCATCCAGCTTAACACATTTATAAGCGACATTACATTTAAAGGTTTCTTATTTTCGGGTAATTACGCTCCTTATCCTTGACATCGAACATGTCATAAGTGTTATTTAAAAACCAGCATCTCTTATCTCCATATCGATTTGTATTCTATAAAATTAAAGATTGGAATCAGACGCCTTGTTTATTTCATATGCACCATATAAGAGATGAACTAGATGAGTAAAGAAGGGAATGGGGCCCGTTGAAACCTCGCCAGAACCTGCAACTAGCTTTTTACAGCGGTGATAAGCAAATATCAATAAGTATTGAATTAGTAGGTATATGGGTGAATATTGATGAAGTCGCGGATCACCATCGTACATCTCTCATTTTCGCAGCAACTTACAATTTATAATTTATACTTGAGAATGCATAGCATAAAATATAAATTATAACCTCGCAATAGAACATCCGAAAATAATATTAGCATGATTTGTGAAGTTATGCGATAGCTTAACTTATAATATTACAAACAATATGAATAAATCTATGTCCATGGCAAATTTCAATGAATTTAAACTTTAAATTAGACGATTAAATAAGTTGGTAAAAAGGTAATGTTGCACCAAGCCCTAAGGTAAAGAAGCTTTCGTGTTCGCTTCCTGCCGCTTCAAGCGGAAATTTATATGTCAATACATTTCTTGTTAAGTGCCCAAAACCATTGATAATAGAAGGTATATAACGAAGATACAAGCGTGAGACACAAGATAAAGATGATAACGGTCATAAAAAACACCACTTTCTCACAACATCGCCTCTATCAATACTGGATAATTTTACTGAAGGAGTACATTACATATCATAGATAATAATTTACATCATTCTGAATATTTCTTAAGTAGACAATATTCATCAGTATGACGTGGCTAGGATATGAATGAAATATTAATTTCGAAGGATTTTTTGGCTGATTTACTTATTAGTTAAAATAGGTCATTGTATTAACATATGAACCACTAATTGCTGCTGGTAGCGCGCCAAACGTGGTGAGCGAGAAACCTTATTAGGAGATTGTAGTTGCATACCCAAAATTACGATACGAAAAGTTAATCATAAATAATATCAATAAGTTTAATACAGTTTTACAATGCACCTACTTCGAGCTTCCTTAGCTATAACCTCAACCCCGCGCTTCCTCACAATCACTTGTACGTGACGTCCGGAGTTACGCGCCTATGTATTGAATAACACACAAGGGC